CGTGTTAGCTAGCTATATCGCCCGATAGTAAATAACCCAATTCGAATTGCTAGCTAGGTATATCGGGTAGTATATTGAGTTAGCTAGCTAGATCGCCCGATAGTCGATATTTTTTTTCTCCTTGGGCTATGCTAGTCGTAATAATCAACGCTATTCGAATTATGATCGTCGAAGGCCACAACAATATTACAAAAATAATTATTCGCGTCAACGAAATCAAGATGCGAACCCACGATTCATATGCCACAATTGTAACGGGGTAGGACATTATGCATATCAATGTCCCAATCATTTAAACTAATACGGGTTCCGCATGATGGTAGCGTCACCCAACCTCGTCAAAATCCATCAGAACTAGTGTGCATTCAAACCATGGTCAACGGTGCCAACACAAGAACTATGATAGACACCAGCTCTACAATATCAGCCATTAATGCATCATAGAGTACGGTGTTTTCCCCTTGGTAGAATCTCTATCTCTAGCGCAAGGCAACTGTATTATTTTTGTAGAAGTTCCAGCAAAACACGAAACGATGAATAAATCTTACTTTTTCTGGCTACCTGTTTCGACTTAATATATGCAATATTTACCTTAGTACTCTCATGATAATATCGCCTTCATCATAATTTCCACCAGTTACTAAATAACTGATGGGTGTATCAAGTGTAATCCGGTCAAAATATTGTGTTGCATCACAAGCACCAGGCTTAATTAAACCATTAGCAAATGCATGATATTCATTAACAGCTTTTATTCCATTATTAATAATCGTTAAGTGATTTATATCATTATGTTGTATTTGTTGTTGATATTTATAATATGTTTGACCAATTTCATAGAGTTCTTTTAATGATATTGTTAAAAATTGTTCTTCTTGAATCAATTGTGTATACGTCTGATGTAATAATATATAAAACTGACTTAAATCATAAATAAAACGTGTCATTTTAAGAAAATCTGTTGAATCTAATGCATGACGTAAAATGTTTAATCTTAGATGTGAATTTCTTGGATGATATAATTCTGTTTTAAAATGTGAATATTGTATCATTATAGGCGTATTTGTTACAAAATCTTGTAATTTTGATTGTATTTGTGATTGTAAAAGTAAATTATTAATATAGGCCTTATGATTTGGTAATTGTGTACGAACATTAAAAAATATTTTCGTTTGATAATTACTTTCTGCTGTTAATTCTTCATCTAATGTTCTATAATGTGACTTTATCCACGAATGTTCGGCTTGTGCTTGATTTATTGTTGATAATGCAAATTGTTCAAAACATCCATTGAGTAAAATACATGCATCATCTCGAGTAGAGTTTAATGATAAAAAAAGAAATGTTGAAAGTAATCGTGCACGTACAAAATGACAAACTTTTGTTCTTGAGCTTTGACCAGCTAGACGAACATCAGCAGTGTTATCGTTGATGGCGTGTGTTGCTAATACTGGTCCAAATAAATTTTTAACACAATCAGCAAAGAGTAATGCATGCCAAGCCTGTTAAAAATATATGAAATAAAAAAATAAAATTTATATTTATTAAAAATATTAGGATATACTAACCATAGCACCAAATGTTGAAAAATAAACAGGATAAACGGCAGGAACATTGAGTGAAGTAGCCGTTACTTTTGTTGAATATCTCATTAGGTCACCATTCATTGATATTACACAACCACAATCATAATGAACACCATTGGTTGTTATAATTTGTTGAGTTGTTGAACCGAAACCTAAAATTATAATAAAGAATTTTTAATAACTAATATTTAAAATGAAAACAAATAATATGTACCAAATGTATTTTGTAATGTTAACGGACTAAATGCAAATGTCCATAAGAAATTATTTTTTCCACCAAGTATAATCATAGCCATTAAATTGACCAATGTATGTCGTATACATAATTCATCATCATCTTTGCAATCAAGTTTAAAAAGATTATTTAAAGCATTTGGTTCATCATTATTATTTACTTTTGGATAACCAATCATATATTGTTCCGGTTCTAATAGTGCACGAAATACACGTATTTCATCAGAATCCAATTGTAATAATCCTTCAACTGCTACCAATAACGTTTTTAATTTTGATAATTCATTATTACAATAATATGTATAGTATATTTTTAACAATAACATTGTTTTTATTTCATTTTTTTCTAATAAATGTGGATTTGAATCTAATTTTAAACGAAGCCAATTAATTAATGGTGTCCAACATTGTTGTTCAATATTATCTTTTGTACAACTATCAACAATTTTACTTAATTCATCATATGGCTGATGTAATTTTGGAAATATAATTGATGTCATTTGATTTTCATTTATCAATGGTGATAGTGTAAATTGTATTTGATGACATAAATGTAAATATTTTGTCATTTGAACCGTTTCATTTGTTTTAAGTAAAGTATGTAAATTATTTGCCCATAAATTATTAACACGTTGTACACTATCAGATTTCAATAACTGTAATAAATATATCCATGATTTTTTTGCTATTATTATTGATAAAAATAGTTCAACATTTTTATTCAATTCAGGCGTATCTTTTTGATCCATTTTTAAATAGTCTTCTATAATTGTATGAAGTAAACGAATTTCTGAATCACTACCAAAATTTTTTTCACATAACAATAAATGAATCATTTATGAAAGACGTCGTGTTCAAAAAAAAGAAAATCTACTAATGCATCTTATGTTATCCTGCTTTCGAATACGGATCCCTTTTTTTCCAGTAAAAAAAGGATTCTTTAACCTCTTTAATTTTCTTTACTATGTCGATAAAAAGTTCGATTTTTGACTTATGTACTCACTCATTTTGTTTATTTATTTTCTTTTTCTTTGTTCTTTCTTTGTGTGTTAGTTATTGTGTTTGTTTATTTCTATCAAATTACAACAAATTTATATCTCATTTGTTATTTGTTTTTCTCCATATTCCATATTTGCTGCTTTGAGTATTACAAAGATCAAAATGAGTGGATATTATACTTACAGAAAGTGTCCTAATATGTTGACTTTTTCCCTACAGAGTTTTCGCATATTTTCGATTTTCTTCTTTAATCTTGCTTAGGTTTTTTGACTGCTCTGTTTTTTTAACACGTGTGAATACGTTACATGTCGATCCTTTTCAGTTCAGATAACGTATATACGAGCCATTAAAGATAGGCTAAAATCGACCATCCTAGATCCCTTTCAAAATCCATGACGTGTTTAGAGCAAATCATTCTGATGAATTTAGGCGATGACTACAGTCTAAAAGTTGTTTTGTTGATAAAATTTTTAATTTTTACGAAAAGTTGTAAAAAACATAAAATTCTTTCCTCTAGAAATTATCAAGTTTGTGTAAATCTGTAAAGACATCTTATTTAGAGTTGAAAAGTTCATCATGAACATTTTAGTTGATGAACTGCATAGTGACATACCCAAGCAAATATCACCTATGAAAAAAATCCAGATCCATTAAAAAAGTAAAAATCTAGTAATCTAGATGAATCGGGCGATACTAGATTTTTTTCACGTTTGGGTAATCTCAACATCTTGAGTTTTTACAGCTTTTCGTAAAAATTGAAGATCTTATCAAACAAAACAACTTTTACACTGATATTCGCCAAATTCATCAGAATGATTTACTCTAAGTGTGTCATTGTTTTCCAGGATGGTTTGATTGAACGTATTCGATTATAGTTTATTAGAGTTTACACTACCGGAATCAGAAGTCAATGAAAAAATATTTCGTTTTTGTTAGACACATTATTCAAATGGAAGAAAAACGTTCTGATTTGGTATAGAATAAAGTCTATACACGAAATAGAAAAGTATCGATCTGTATGTGATACGTTAGTCAGTACATGTGACAAGAGAAAAAATACATTTGCACTTTTTCAGTGAAGACATGCGTATATATATAAAAAATGATAAGAAAAATTGAATAAGCTGAATGATAACTGTAGAGTGAGTAAGTACACGGCAATGGAAAGAGACGTTAATACATTTGAGATGTATGTACTTCTGTTGAGCTCAATCTCTGGTTGAACCTGAAAAGAATTGCATTATGTTCCCGAAGAGAAAGCCGGGTAAAACATGGTGAAATTAACGTCAAACGATATGCTTTAGAGAGAAAATTTTCTTGTTCATAAAACTTGTGCTTTTGGGTGCCATCATAAATAAAAAGTAAAACCTGTGTTGTAACTTGGCAAATTCCAGAAGTTTTCTCAGAAGCTATTCTAAGATAAAAGTATAAATTTACATTTCTAGTGGTGTTTGAAGTATTCAAAAAAAATGGACGAAATGTCCAAAAATGGCTGTGCATATGTAATTTTACGTGCTCTGTCTAATGAGACCAAAATTAGAACTTAGAATTTTGTAATTAAGACGAAAAACGAGTTTTTGTCTTAATTAAATTTTTTTTGAACAGCATATATTTCTGACAATACATGTTTCCGAAATGTAAAACATTCAAATTCGGATAGAACTTAATATTTTATGTGTACTAATAGATTAACAGTATGTGATTAAGAGACACATTTTATCCCTTAAATTACAAAATATAAAAATTGACCAAATGTTCTTAAATCGATGACACTAGACGATAAAAGAAACAACATGGAATATCTTATGGGGAGGGAGAAGAAAAATAAATGTATTTTTATTTCTCTTTTTCTCACACTGGTCGATGTTCTTGTGGGTTCTTGTTTCTTGGCATTTCAGACAAGTATCTTGTAAAATATTTTACATGTATTTTTATCACAAGAACCTTGCAAGAAATCGCTTTCTTGTGAATTCA